TCTATTTCTCTGAAAACCCGTAATTGATGGCATTGCAGGTTTGCATCACTTCAAACAGGATTTGAGTTTTATGTCTGCTGAGTTTTTCCTATCACCCCATGTTAGGTGTTCATTAAGAGATGTGTGGTATACTAGCAAAACAGAGAGCCCAAATCTGCAAACAGTGGCCATGCTTCCTCTGAAACACTCCAGGCCTAGCTGTGATTCCACAGTCCTGCCCCTGGGAGCTGGCCTGCTCAGGGGCACTGAAGCTAATGCAGCAGTGCAGACCACTGACATCATCAGATAGTGCCCACAGGAAATGTGTATAAGACTTGAGAACTTCTCAGATGAAGAAATACAAAATGGCAAATAAATACATGAAAAAGTGTTCATCATCATTAGTCATTAGAGAAATGCAAACTAAAGCAACACTGAGATTCCATCTCACTCCAGAAAGAATGGCCAGGATCAAGAAAACTACCAACAACAAATGCTGGAGAGGCTGTGGGGAAAAAGGAACTCTCCTGCACTGTTGGTGGGAGGGTAGACTGGTGCAACCATTGTGGAGGTCAGTCTGGAGATTCCTCAAAAAGCTGGAATTAGAAGTCCCATTTGACCCAGCTATTCCCCTTCTAGGCATATTCCCAGAAGAATTGAAAACATCATACCACAGTCATATATGTGCACCCATGTTTACAGCAGCACAATTTGTAATAGCCAGATCTTGGAAACAACCTAAGTGTCCATCAACTGAGGAATGGATAAAAAAAGTTGTGATATTTTTATACAATGGAGTATATTCAGCTATAAAGAATGATCACATTGAGATATTTATAAATAAATGGACACAACTTGAGACCATACTCATAAGCGAAATAAATCAAACTCACATGTATAAATACCGTATAGTCTCCCTAGCATAAGAAATGGCAAGAGTACATCATAAGAGTTTATGGTAGTCATGATTCTCCATTACTTTGCTTTGAAGCCTTATAATGTTTTCATTCATTAGTTGTAATGGTTTTATTCTGGTTTGTTTGATTTTGTTATCTGTGACGGTATGAACAGCTATTTTGAAGAAAACAAGGCATTATAATAGCCAGTGCTGATTTAATATCATCTTGCTTTGAATTCCTACCATGCTTTTGTTCTTTTGTTTCCATTGGTTCCATCATGTTGTATCTTATTGGATTTTATTATATGTGATAGTATAAACAAATTTTTTATGGTAAAGTAGATATTATAGTAGCCATTGTTCATTTCTTGTTATTTGATTCCAAATGCCCTGTAAGTTTCATTGTCTTGAATGGTTTTATACTGTTTTGTTATGTTTGATACTATTGTATGTGAAGATATGCTCAAGTATTTCAAGGAAAGAGACATTATGGTAGATACTGTTATATCCAGTTGTCTTGTGGTAAAATACAGTGTTGCTTAAATTGTTCTGTTCTGATCTGTTCTGTTATGTTCTCTTTTGTCTTAATCTCTTTAAAATAAAAAAATTTTAAAAAGACTTGAAAACTGGTAGTGAACAAGTGCCTTTGTGTGACCCCAGCAAAGATTTTAAGGTGAATGTGGATTCCTTCTCTCCATGGTGACCTTCAAGGAATCGTACCATCTGTGGTGAACTTTCCCAAGAGCTCTGTCAAAGTTTTTACCAAATAGCTTATCCTGCGAAGAACTGAGAAGTGAAGCCCAAAGCCCAGCAACCCCTGGCTGAGGCATTTTGTCCTATTTGGAAAGGCAGCATCAAGCCAGAGCTTCCCTACTGGCTAATGAGCTGTTTGTTCTCTGTGTATTTCTCACCTTTAGATTTACTTCAATAAATATAGTTGATTTTCATTGTAGGTTCGGTATTGTATACCCTAATTAAGGCCATTTATTATCTGTAGAAGTTCTCTTGGCAGGTCCTAAGAAATTGTTTACATACACAGGTTGGAGACAGGCTGAGTTTTATTTCTTGACTTCCGTTTTGGTTTTCTTATTGCACTGGTGAAAATCTCCAGTGCAATACAGGGAATGAATGGAGAGAGCAGATTTTCTTGCTTTCTTGTCTTATGAAGAAACACTCAAATTTTTGCCATTTCATGTGATTTTGCTTTTTGGTTTTTTGTAGATGCCCTTGTCAGGTTATGGATGGTTTCTTTTAGTTTATATTTGATGATTTCCATCATCATTGTTGTCAATTTTTCCTAATGCTAATTCTCCATCCTTTGTGGGAATTATCTATTTCTTCTATTTCTAGATTTGGGAAAATGGTGTGCAATTATGTTATACGTAGAGGTGGTACTGCATGTGAGAAAAATAATTTACCAATTGTCAAAGAATATAGAAAAAAGAAGAATCATTGCACCACAAAGACATCAGCATGTGAATCCCAGAGAAAACCCCATAACAGAATACATAACCAAACAGGCAAGGGAGTAATATCCAAAATTATATAGAGCCTTTAAGAAGACAGTGATTTTAAGGAAGATGAACAAAACAATATGATTCAAATACAAGTGACTATTTATCAAAGTATTGGTGTGCATGAAAAAGTTTCAAATATAAATTCAAGAGACTAGCAATGATTTTGAGGGTCAGGGATATAGCTCAGCAGCACAGTGCCTGCCTAGCAAGTATGACTCCTGAGCTTGATTCCTGGTATGAAATAAAGTATTTCAAATGCAAGGGCTACAAATGTGATCAGTGTGAGGGCATAATTTCAGAAATAGAATAAAATATGCCTGCAAAGAACAACTACTCAGACACCATTAAAGCAACAAGAGGACATGAAGTTGGATCCACCAGCTGCTAGATGATGCAAAAGACAAAAAGCAACTGATATAATTAAAAAATGAGAAGACAGCATGGATGGCATAAAGAAAGCTGTTCAAAAACTCAAGGCAGAAAACTTCCCAACTACAAGGAAAGAAATATACACACAGAAAAGAATGTCATACAGGAAACCAAGTAGCTATAATTCAAAAGAGAACTTCTCCACATCACATAGTACTTAGACTCCCAGATGTTCATCACAGAGACAAAATCTTAACACTGTTAATGAAAGCAACAAGTTCCGTGTAAATGTCAACCCACTAGAATTACATTGCACTTCTCAACACAAACCATGAAGGACAAGATGCTGCAAACAAACAAACAAAAGAAGCATTTCACAGCTTATCAGAGAACAATTCCAAATCCAAGTTATGTATCCCGAAAAATCTTCCAAATCAGTTGATGAAGAAGTAGTATTTTTATTATTATGAAATCCTAGTACTGAATCCAAAGGAAAATGCTTCACACCTAGGAGTTGGAAGGCAAGTGCTGGCAGGCTGGGGGCATGGAATCCAAACAACCAGCGTCCAATCAATTTTCAGTTTAGTTTACAAACAAAGGTTGGTAAGTAGGAAGTACAAAATCTGATATCAGGTTACCGTAAAATTGGCTGCTTGAATCATGTCATATGTTATCAAGCAGACTAGTTTTAGGCAGGTCTACTTTAAAGGAATTGTTTATCATAAAGCAGGAGTATTTTGTGGAGGGGAGAGTTGAGTGGAGAAGGTAGATTTAAATGTGCCATTGACTGAATCAGTCTGTCCTAGGTAGAAAGCCCTTGGGACATGTAGTGAAACTAGATATATATTTCTAGGTATAAAAACAGAACATCAAACCTGGATGTGGCCAGCTTGTCCTGGTGGAATATTCGTGAGAAGCAGCTGGATGCAGACAGTCAAGGCCAACTGAGTTTAGAAGTCTAACTTATGACACAAGCAGCACGAGTATATCTTATCTCAACACAGCAACAGACTATAAATTGATTTTTAAATTTCTGCTATAAAATTTCTAAAAGCTTGCTATTCTACGAGTTTTCTATTACACTACAACCAGGACCACCCTGAAGAACTCATCACCTTGTAACACCATTACAAAAGTATTATCATGCACTCCTGCAATCCCAGCACTGGAAAGGCTGAGGCAGGGGGATCGCTGCAAGTTCGAGACCAGCCTCGGCTACAAAGTGAGCTCAAGGCCAGCCTGGACTATGGAGCAAGACACTGTCTCAAATAGACAAAATTTCAAGAATATACTATAAAGAAACAGTGACGCCAATAAGGACAATAAATAAATAGGAAGAATATAAAGAAATAACTAAGGAAAAGAAAAGCATAAAGCCAGTGTAATGACAGGGAAAATTCCATACCATTCAGTAATCACTCTCAATACAGAGGCTCAATTACCCAGTGAAAAGAAATGGATTAACAGAACAGATTAAGAAACAAAATGGGAACATATGTGACATGCAAGAAGCACATTTGCTTCAAAATGAAATTTAAAGATTCAAAATCAAAGAACTAAAAAAAACATATTTCATGCAACAGGAAACTGGAAGAGAGAGAGCAGAGATAGATATGCTAATTTCAGATAAAATCAACCTCAAGCCAAAACTATTTAGAAGACATAAAGAAATTCACTACATTAGGTAAGCATAGAGTTGAATAGTAAAAGATAACAATTAGAAACATTGATGTACCAAATGCCAGTGAGCCAACCTTGCTAAATAAATATTATCAAATCAAATACAAATATAATTTTAGTGGGGAACTTCAATAACCCACTGCCACAAGTGGACAGATAAACTAGACAAAATGTAACAAAGAAATATAAGAGTTGAAGGAAACTTTTGAACAAGGGCACCTATTAAAGATCTACAAAGTGGTCAAACAATGACAATAGTATATGTATTCTTCGTTTACTTTAAAAAAAAGCAATACAGAAAAAAGGGTAGAAATGATAGAGAGTTTAATAAAATAGTGGGAAATTAATATTAAGTGTTGTAGTCAGGGGTTTTGCAGAGGACTGGAAGAATCTTGCCCTAGTCCGGACACAGTAGCCAGTAAAGCCTTGGAGGCCAAACCAAGGAGCTTCATCTTCCCCGCCCCTAGGAATCTGCCTCTGGTGCGAAATGGATACCAATGGGCCACCTGTGCATCACTAACGCCCCTCAGGCACCATCCCAGACCTAAGCTACAGGTATGCCCCCACTCCCCGTGTCCAACAGCGAGATCACCAACCCAGGGGAGAGACTGCCAGCCCCCGGGGACTATGCTGGACCCTGGTGGGTCGGGGGTCTCTCCCCACATTCTTAAAATAAGGTCATTTATATTTCATACTTCTTATCTTTTCAGCTGCGCCACAATTCTATCAAGAGCAACTAGAATTAGGACATGGAGTTTACACTATCATTTTTATGGTGGTCACAGTCACAGTTAACACAAGAAACTGCAGGACATCTATCTGCAACATGACAGACAGAATATTTAGTCAAAGGCCTAAATCCCACAGCAATGTCCCACATGATTTCAGATGAAGACCCAGAGCTCATGACAATGCCTCCCACGAGTCCAACTGGAGGTCCAGAGCCCATAAGAAGGACTCATGCCAGTCTCTTTTACGGATCTGTGCCAGGAAGGCCCAAATGTCAGCGATGGAAGGCAGAAAGTCCACGCCAGCAGGGTGAAGGAGCTGTGCTCATGGGTTGAGGGTTCTTCACTGGAGCAGAGAAGTCACACTCAACAAAGAGCAGGGCTGTCCTGAAAGGCACCACAGCCATCCTCAGTGACACGGAGGGCCCAAGCTCCTCCAACGATAAGCAGTCGAGTACATGCCAGGAAGCCAGCATGACAAGTTCATCCTGGAGATCAAGTGGCACACATCTTCCCCTCCGGAGCCAGAAAGCACTGCTCATATGATGACCAGCACTTCTCCAGGAGAACCAACGGCTCAAATGGCAACACGTTGGAGAACCCACGATACCTCCACACCTCAACACAATAGCGGCCCTCCTTCTCTTTCTCCAGTCTCTATCTATGCTGGCAACAATCCTCAGGTGAAACATCTATGCTCAGCAGCATGGCAATTTAATTCTGCTGGGATTAAGCTGATCACCAGTTTTTAACCCATAACACTAAGCCATGTATTGCATATTATCATCTTAGAAGTAGTTGTTCAGGTTACAAGGTTTAAGAACAAAAAATGATCAAACAATGAAAGCACAAACTTTTCTTTTGGATGAACTAACAGATAAGTAGTACAGCTAGCTATCTATTTTGTTACATGTGTGTGTGTGTGTGTGTACCTATATATATATAATCTTTCCTTTTTTCCTTTCCGCTATCCCAGTTATTCTTTCCTTTTGAGCCTTTCCTTTTCATTTTAATAATATCTAGTGTACATTTTGGATATTATTACTTTTTCAAATTTCTTTTTACACTAGGGAAGCAATACAATATTTTAAAATGTGAGTTTGATTTATTTCACTTATGAGTATGGTCTCCAGTTGCCTCCATTTACATATAAAATCCCCAAGATTGTCCTTCTTTATAGATCAGTAACATTCCAGTGCATAAAAATATGACATATTTCTTATCTAGTCCACAGTCGATGGACATTTGGGTTGTTTCCAAGTTTTAGCTATTACAAATTGTACTGCTACAAAATGGGTGAACATATACTGCTGTACCATGTCATTTTCAATTTTTCTGGGAAAATACCCATAAGATGAATACCTGGGTTGAATAGGTTTTCCAATCCTAGTTTGTTGAGGAATCTCCATACTTATTTCCACCAGAGCTGTAACAGTCCACTACCCCCCCCCAACAGTGGAAAAGTGTTCCTTTTTCCCCACTACCCCACTAAGATCCATTATCAGTTGATTTCTTGATGAAGCTATTCTTTCCAGAGTGAGATGAAATCTCAGTGTTGTTTTAACTTGCATTTCTTGAATGACCAGTGATGTTGAACATTTTTATGTATTTATTTGCCATTTGTATTTCTTCATCTGAGAAGTGTGTATTTATCTCAGATGCCCATTTTTGGATTGGGTCTTTGAATTTGGGGGGCCTGACATTTTTCAATTCTTTGTATGGTCTAGATATAAGTCCTTCCTCTGAGGTAGGGAGAGAAAGAAAGGGAGATAAAGCTGAAAAATCCAAGTGATAAAAAGCCTATAGAGAGCCTAGTAGACCAAGAGCTCGAGAGAGACGCCGTCGTGGACCATGAGAGAAAGGAAGAGCAGGAGGAGGGAAGTGTGGCCCAGGTCCCTTCTCCGCCCCAGCTTCAACTCTCTAGTGTCATTTGGGGGACCCAACAACCCAAGGGGTGCAGTCAGAATCCCCGTCTGCTAGCAGGAGCTAGATGAGTGACTTTTTCACTTTGTCCATGTGACTGCATTTGAGGGTTCCCACTGCTGGGACAATGAAATGGGCTCTACTGGCCCTGATAAATAGTCCTTTTAACTTGAAAAATACTGGCAAGTTTGCATTACCCACCAGGGTCCTTCCCCAGGGCACTTGGATCTAGAATGGTTAGAGTACCCCTCAATTTCACTGGGACTTGGGACCCTGGGTAGGCCCATTCCACTCCACTGGGCAGCAACAAATGAGGCTTTGACTGCTGCACCCGGTACTGTGCTAGGTTCTGCTGGGAAGCTTTTGTTCTAAATGAAGAGTTTTCTCATAGATACACAGACAGACAGACATACAGACAGACAGACAGTCAGTCAGTCAGTCAGACCTGATTATGGAAGGGACTATATTCATTCTAGAAGGAATATAGAGGAAGAAGAAGTCTTTTTGGTGTCAATAGGATTTGAGCAAGGCCTTGAAGGGAAGGAGTGCTTTGGGGTCCAGCGGAATTAGGGGCAGGCAAGTGGAGGGATTATTATGAGCAGAAGGGCTATAGAAAAAACTTGCTTTCTTTGGCTAGAACCTGAACTAGTTACTAATTATAGAGTTAAATGTGTCACTTTAAAACAAATTGTATCATGCTGTAGTCAGGGACTGAAAGGAAAGCAATTATAAAAGGACACATAATTTATTGTCTAATTTAAATGGTCACCCAAGGAGTCAAATACAAAGAAAGTTCAGGAAATCTGTCCACACACTAAAGACCTAGAAAAGCCAGCCAAGGGCCTGGGTCCCATGGCAATAACCTACATGAGTCTGCTGAAGATCTGGAGCCCAAGGCAATGCCTCCCATGAGTCCAGCTGGAGGCCAAGAGCCCACAGTGACTTTTGCAAGTTTGTTTCACGGATCTGCACTGGCAAGGTCCAAAGGTCAATAGTGGAAGCTAGAAAATCTATGCCAGTTGAGTGAAGGATTTGTGTCAGCAGGCTGAGGGGTCTGCACTGGAGCCAAGATGCAACACACAGAATAAGGACCAGGGCTTCCCCAAATGTACCACAGCCATCCTCAGTGACAATGAGGTCCCAAGCTCCTACAACGATAACTGCCAAGTTCATATCAGGAAGCCAGCATGAATAGCTTCTCCAGGAGTTTAAATAGCACATATCTTCCCACATGGAGTCAGGAAACAATGCTTGAAGTAAAGACAAGAGCTCCCCCAAAGTGAAACACAGCTGCTCTCAGCAACAATGTCCTAAGCTCCTCTGATGATAACAGCCAAGTTCATACCAGGGAAGCCAGCAAGACAAGCTCCTGCAGGAAAGCCAATAGTTTCAAAAGAGCCAACTGCTTCAAACAACAACAACAACAACAACAACATTTGTCTTCCTCTCCAGGTATGCTTCTTATACTGATGACAATCCGCAGGTGGGCCATCCATGCTCCACACCAAGATGATTCTGTCCAGCTGGTACCACCAGTTATGAATCCACCACAGATTGTAAAGTTTGCTATTTCTCTTTACCTAATTGCACGTCTTACTGCTGGACCCACGTTGGTGCTGATTACTGGGAATTGGCTATAAGTTTCTAAAGTGCTACCAATTTGATGAAAATATTCTCTGCCTGCTTTCTCTCTCTGGAAGTGAGCGCACAGGAGCAAATGAAGTCAGTATCCCATCTTTATGCTGCACAAGCATGGGAGCTGGCCACCCACATAGTGAGTATGGCCCAGAGTCATTGAAAGGTTTTCCCTGGCACTGACCTCCGGGATCATGCTTTCTGTCTGTCTCTGTCTGTCTCTGTCTCTTTCTCTCTCTTTCTCAGGGCCTCACCATGGAAGTTACTGGGGTTGGACAACTAGGGCTAGGGCATGCCACTGGAATGCTTGGAGGTGGACAGAAAAGGCAGGATCTCTAAGTAGAGATTCTATGTCCTTGTGAGCAGATCAGGTATTCCCTGGGGATCCTGGTCCTTTCTTATTGGCATTTTTCATGTGAATATATTTGCCTGTCATCCTACTGTGATGGCTAAATACTCATTATTCACAAGAGGCTTGAAAGGACTTAAAAATCCAGCATTCTCTCTAATCTTATATTTCTCCCCTTCCCTTACATTTGAAGCTTAAATTTGGGTCCCAAGAAAAGACAAACAGTGAAGCAGGGATGTTTTAGTGGACAAAGAGACATGGTAGCTACAAATCTTCAGTAGATAGCCCAGGACAAAGGGGTCATCATGGTGGGATTATCATTTGAGAAATGACAGTCTCATTTGTGCAGAGCAAGGGGACCAAAGTCTAAGGAAGGCTTTTGGCCTTCATGTCACCCTTCTTAATGTTCTGATGAAGAGTCTAGCCACTTACCAAACACCTTGTGTGCACAAGCCATTAATAGCATCACAGTCAACCTTTCTGTTACTATGACTTTCATTCCTTCCTTCAGGCCCGCATCCACAAACAACCATTCAGTATCACCCTCCACCCATTTATGCTACAGACTGGTGGATGGGGCTCCTCCATGGAGAAACAGATCACAGTTTCTTGTTTGCTTGTTTCTTTTTCCTTTTTGCTATGCAGTCTGGGCTGGCCTCACAATCACTGTGTACACCAGGCTGCCTTGAACTCATAGCAATCCTCCTGTGTTAGCCTCCTGAGTGCTGGAATTACAAACGTAAGCCACCATGCCCAGCTAGCATAAAGGTGATGGATAAAAAAAAAAGAATAAAATTAACCCATTGTGCTGGTGCATGCCCTTAGTTCCAGCACTTGGGAGACTGAGGCAGGAGGATGGCCACAAGTTTGAAGCCAGCCTGAGGGTACAGAGTGCAAGGCAACTGGAAATGCCTAGTGAGACCCTGTCTATAAAAGCCATTTGGGTAAGAAGAAACCAGTGGGTGAGGGGACACTTTTATGAGTGCAAAAAGAGGAAAAGCATTATTGATTTCATTAGGTGTAAAACCAAAGAAAGAAAGAAAAAACAGACTCACTACAGCCAAAGAGAAAAACGAATTCTCTAGGGCCAAAGAGAAAAATGCGCTCATAAGAAATAAAATGGGGAGAGGCACATTGATTTTATCAGATGTCAAACATGGGGCAAATAGATTTTCAATAACCACCAATGTTTATGGAAATGTTTGTTGTATTATAGATTCCACACCTACCTTTTTGTTGTGGAATTGGATCAGGGAGTGCCTTGATGATGGTACAACTATTAACACTGCGTAGCTTGCTAAATTCCTTGATTTTGTTTGTCTGTATTGTAAATTTACACACTTGGGAGGAAGTGGGAAAGCAGCCTAGAGCAAGTCTAGGGAAAAAACAAGCCAGCACAAATCTGTCTGAAGCTCTACAGACTTAAAAAGTGTTACTTAACAGGGAGAAACTGCAGTTCTGCACTCCTCTCACCAACTGTCAAAGGTCCCCAGGCAGGGAAGGGAACCAAAGAGCTTCACTGAGCCTAGAGGTTGGCCCAAACAGGGAGATAAAAGGAACAGAGCTGCTTGTTTCAGCTGCAAGGGCAAAATGTAATGGTTCTAATGTGACATAATATTGAGAGAATTAATACTAGCTCTTCAGGATTGTTAATATTGTTGTCTTGGTTACTTTTTTTTCACTGCAGGGACAAAATATCCAACACCCAAGGTTAAGGAAGGAAAGGTTTATTACTTAGGGTACAGTCTGTGGAGGTTTCATTCCCTAAACAGCTGGCTCCAAGGTAGATGGCATGGCACCGGGGCAACATTTCAAGAGGCAGAAGACCAAAAAGCAACAAGAGCAAAAGAAGGGAGAGCAAGCTTCTTTTTTGTCCTTATATTGTAAGCACATTACTACCCATCACCCCAGGGTGGATGTAGCAATCATACTATCTTATGTCCTCCTCTTGTACAGGTTGAGGATATTTAGGAAGTTAAGATCCTGGCTCCCTGCTGAGTCTTTTAGTTAAATCTCTGAACTTCTCAAGTTGATATGATGTATCAACCATAACAATTATTTTGTGATATTCAAGCTGTGAAATAATTAAAATAAGCTTGTTTTTGTATCAGGAAGCAATTTTTAAGAAGTATTCAGTTGGTCAAAATGATGCTAAAATTGGTTATGTGAATGTAGTGTATATTGTTGTTTATGTAATATGACTTGGCATTCTCTCATCTTTCAAACATAACACGTCAGAGAAGACCCATACTCCTGGGTGCAGGGTTGTGAATCGGCCAATGTGGGCATCTGGATTTATCAAGCACACTTTTATTTAAGTGCCTACTGGCATGTCACTGTGTATTTTTTCCCAGAACACACTGGTTTCCCAGATAAGAACTGAGTATTTTCCCTTTCAATCACTGTCCTCTATCTCTAACTAACCTAGCAACAGTTAACTTCCTTTCTTGTACAACTGAGTTACAAATCATAATATCTTGCAAGCCTTTGAACTCAGTTAGTGGATTTAAAGGTAGCTACTTGCCATGCCTTAGGCCTCAGAACTCCTGATTTTCCATCTAGTCTGTGTGTCTGCTACCTCACTGATGGGCTGTGCTTCCACCCGTTAGCAAAAGAAAAAAGCCTTGCTGAGAGTCCTTCATGCCTGCATGTTACACCAAAAAATTGAGCAACTTACACCAAAAAATTCAGGAACTTATTTTCAACAGATTGCAACAATAAGAGAGTGAATTTGAGGCTAGTCTAGACATTATAATGAGATCTGATCAGTAAGAACATACACACACACAAAAACGGCATCAAAACACTGGCAAAAACAAAAAATGGTTCAGCAGTGTAGCACTTACCCATCATAGAAAAGGCCTTGCCTTTGATCTGCAGTGCCACAGAAGCAAAAACAATGTCTCATTGTGTCAAAGATTGCAGTGTTGGTTTGATTTTTTTTTTTTTTACTGGTACTGGGGATTGAACTCACAACTGCATGCTTGCAAGGCAGCTGCTTATGCCACTGAGCTAAATCCCCAGCCCTTGGTTTGATTTCTTATAATGAAGAAACATCATAGCAAATATAAGGGAAGGAAAGCACAATCACTTTATAAGGGCCAAGAACTATGCTCAGGATGTACCTTCAAAGCGTCCAGGGGCCAGTTTTGTCCATAGGTGACATTAGCATAACTTTCCCAGACATCTAGAAGTGTGCTTTACAAGTATCCTGTACATTACCCAGGCCCATCTAGTTATACCAAGAGTATCATATGATTAAATGTAACATTTTTCTTCTAGGCATACTAGTGATGAAGTGTGGAGAATTTCAGAATATGAGGAAGAAACTGCTGGGCACGCATAGCTGCACTCTGAGGTCTTTATACAACTCTTCCTCTTCACCAACAAGTGACCAGAGGATCAATAGTGGGATCCACGTAAGCAACTATTCTTACCCTCCCTTCTGGTAGTATGTTAAGCTTCAGCATCTGGGACTGTTTGTATATCCAGATGAGATATGAATCTTGTCTAAGGGAACTGGAATGTTTGCTTTCATGTTATCTTTACTATTTTGCAGAATATAGCTATCATTTAACTCTCATTTCTCCACCTGCATAATAAATGTATTCCTTTTTGCAGGCATATACTCATTGTATTGAATGAAAGTCAGTGGATTGAGGCAGTGTGGAAATCTTGACACTGAAGCCTGCTGCCTCATTTCCAAATATTCACCTGTGAAACGGCCAGCCCTCCTCCTATTTCATTTAGTCCTGTCCTGTCCTGCATTCATGATGTTCTATTACATCAGGGGACTGATTCTTCCACAGGACACTGACCTTGGAATCTTCTGAGCAACCAAGAAACCCCATTTCAGGATGAGCATATTAAGTCCATTAAGAAAACAGCAGCAGCTCCGACAAGCGAGGGTACCCTGCTTAAATGAAATTATTGTTTGATTAAGTGAGAGTCACATAAGAAGAGCGTTGTCTGGAAATTCCTGGGTGACAGTCTACCACATGGGCCCTTAATAGGCAGGCAGTTTTCTTCCACACTTTTGACAGATTGAAGGCAGCAGAGCAGGAGCCAATCAGTGACGAAGAGGGGCTGCAAGAACTGTCCAATCAGGTGAGTCGAGGTGGGTGTGGACTTCCGGTGTCATGGCTGCCCTCACCACAATGTAGTGCCGAGAATTTCTGTCCTCTCTAGACTGCTTACTGAGACTTCTACGGCCTACAGGCCTTATGGAAGGACTCTTGGAGACCGGAAAGACACACAGTGGTGATATTGTGGGACGGGAGCCGGGGAAGGGATGGGGTCGGGCTGAGGTCTGAGAGGAGGCGGCAGAACGAGCTCTGGGAGCTGCAGCCTCCCGCCCAGCTCCAGACCCCGAGGTCCTCATGGCTTTTCCCTCGGCGGGGTCAGGTCACCTGTTAATGTTACCGCGGGTGCCTCAGGGTCTTAGGTCTCCAGACGCGCCCACATTGGGCTTGTCTATCTCTAACGTAGAAAAGAAGACCAGCACTAAGAAACACTGTATTGCAGGTATTGTAAGAAGCAGTAGAAAGTCTCTCAGGGAGACGAGTGGGGACCTTCAGAGTTGAGTCACCAACAAATCTGGGTGTAGTACCATTTTGCGTGGCAGAGATAACATCCGCGCCCCCTCTCACGGTCACTGTGCTGACTGGATTCTAGGGTTGGTTTTGTTTTGTTTTGTTTTGTTTTGTTTGTGGAGTATAGGAAAATTTTCCAACTAGTTTAGCAGCTCCCTCTGGGGAAGTGACCTTGTTGAAGGGGAGGTTAAAGGAACAGACTAGCCTCACAGACACATGTGTGAAATGGCAGGCCATTAGTATGATTGCTGTGACACAGAGGCTGTATCTCTACTTGTTAGGGAGCTCACCACATGCTCTAACCCTACGTATGAGTCTGAGTTGTCCCTACATTAGGAGAGTTTTCATTGGAAATACGAACAATAGCTTTCTGAAACTTGGAATCAGCCTGAGTGAATGGCCAGGTGGCTGCTCAATCCAGAGCTCATTAGAGATAACCAGAGCACAGTAATTGCCCAGTTATTTAATGGCCACCTCTCACAGGTGACTGTGTGTATTGAAAATGATCATTTGAAACTCGGGTTCTCAGACCAGTTTTGTTACCATGTAAAGTTCAAAGGAAATTGAGATTTTAGAGAAAAAGTGGGTATTTTGCAGTTGACGTTCCTGGAAACTGGAGAGCTTGGTAGAGAGTGGCTGCAAGTCCTCACAGTAGGGAAAGCTGCATTCCTTGTTTCCTGAAGAAAGTTTGCTCTTGGTCTCTGTCTATAGTTGGCTACCTCTTCTTACTTTAATTGTTACCAATATGACTGCATACATAACTCTACCTTCTCAGGTCATTATCTGTAGCTAGATGCTTTATTGGTACGGTTGCTTCTCTTTTCTTTTTCTTTTTTTTTTTTTTTTTTTTTTTTTTGTCTTTTTCGGTACCAGGGATTGAACTCACAACTGCCTGCTTGCAAGGCAGGCACTTATGCCGCTGAGCTAAATCCCCAGCCCCTATTGGTAAGGTTGCAAAACAACTCTTTACATCATGCTATTTAAATGAAGCCTTCCAGAGAGTTTAGAACTCTGGGAAAATAGTGGGGATATTAATGTATTACCATGTGGAAAGAGGTAGTCTTTTCTGTCAAAGGAAATAAAAAAACACTATCTTATAACCATTTTTACTTTTGCAATACTATTTTTTAATAAAATGAACATGTGCTTGAGTCAGACTTCCTGGAAAACTTGAGACAAAGGGCTACTTGGTTGTTGACCTGCCATAAAACTTTGGAACCAAGTACTTTCCAGGTCACACATTTGGCTCTGCCTAGAAACTATGACTTGATCAATGTAGCTGATTGGTTTAGATCCCCTCAATGGCAGTGTGCATCAAGGATAAAATGCAGCCTGTTCAGCTTACTTTTTTGGCATTTCCTGAGTGTACTGTCTTCTGCTGGAGAAAAATTCGCCTCATCAAGACATTTTTGAAAGTTTACTTCTTTTGCGTGTTTGTGACACCATAGAATTCCTGTCCATTATCAAGGGAGGGGAGAGTTCTTGCTAACGACAACTTTCTAAAAGTGCTGTGTATTAAAACCCAAACTAAGAAACACATTCAACTGGGACATCTGCATGGGCATGCTACATGCGATCCTGGGGTGGAGGGAAGGGCAGGGGCTGTCATCCCTGAAATGATTGCTGTCTTTGCACTGTTTCTACGTACTGATTTAAATTTGAAATATCAGTTGAGATGGGCTCTGTAATAAACAAGCACTGAAGCAGAATTAAATCCCCAAAGTGAGCATCTACAGGCTTAATAATGAATGGGAGAAATTGAATTTTTAAATAAGAGTAGCAAAGTGGAGGGAGAAAAAGTATGAGAGGCCATTACTTACAAGAGAGAGTTTAAATCAGCAATGACGATAGTGACCTCTTTCTCCTGAGATCAGATTGTTCTGTGACAATAACTGAAGGATTGTGTGCTGCCTTGCCCTGCAAGGGTTAGAGGCCATAGGCCTAAAGAGAGTACGGAAAGCTTATAACAGATACTCTTGATGTGTTTTATGTTTGTACTGATCATTTCACCTAATCATTTGTGAGGCAAAATTGAAATTAGGAAACTTGGCTTGTAGGTCTGATAATAGACCTACATCATCTATAGTAGATCATAACATCAGCATTGAAGTAGAATGGGAAGTGGTTTGTCTTGAATATAAAGACTACAAGATGTGTTTGAAGTTTTTTTTTGTTTGATGACTGAATGCAGGAATTTTTCTCTGAGCTACATAGCATCCATGTATCTTTCTTAGTTTTTGCAGCCTAGTGTTGCTCAGTTGTCCAAGTGGGGAGAAGTTTTGATACTGTGTCAACCTCATTCATTACTTAGAAGACAGATATGTGACAGTTAGCAATGTTGGGGATCTGTAATCACCATGATTTACTAAGATTTCAGTGCCCAAGGAGACTAAACATGAGCGAGGCCTCATAATACACAACTTTAACTTCAGCTTCTGGGAGGACTGAGGCAGGAATATTGTAACACCACACCCAGCATGGACAGTTGAATAAGAGCCTGTTTCAATGTGGAGTAAATATTTTATGATGTTCCTTCAGTATAATTTACATGACTCCCTTAGTTAAATTTTTAGTACTAAAGAAAACTAAAATAATTCTAATGGAATTGTGCAGTTTTGTAATTTATTTACTTGTCTCACTAGTAGTATATGTTACATTAGCATCTGCTCCTGATGGTGGTCAGCGGTCATGAGTCACTGCTGTGTCAGCAGCTGACACCCAGGGTGAATAGACAGTGGTTACAGTGCACTGTGCTCCATAATCTTCATGAGATATTTAGTACTTTATTATGAATTTGTTTATGTGTTACATAAATATCCTCAAATATAGATGAATATGTATTGAGCAGGTTGGCAGTTATGTTTGATTAATCAGGGTATTCTGTGCATTTTCAATATGGTTTATTTTCAAATTTCTTTGGATTGATCACAATATTTTTGTTTGCTAACTCAGCATCTGTAGACGCATTTCTTAAACTCTGAGTAGAGTCCTTTTTAGAAGATGGCTTTCATCAGATTGTTTCAGGTTTCGAGTGTTGTATTGATCTTTTTGCCAGAGCAGCCCAGCCAGGAGAATAGTGTGAGTACTATTTGGAAAATGGAACAATACTCTGGCGATTTTTGTTTTGGAGGTGTGTTTGTTTTGCTTTGACTTTGTTTTTATTTGGTATTATACTGAGAGCTCTCACGTTGATCATATTCTGTGACTTACCACAAAAAGGTAATAGATCTGGGTATGGTGGCACACACCTATAACTGCAGCACTGGTGAGGCTGAGGCAGAACAGTTGGTGTGAGTTTGAGGCCAGCCGAGGCTCCAAAGTAAGCTTAAACCCAGCATGAATTACACAGTGAAACTGTGTCTCAAAGAGACAAAAAAAAAAAAAAAAGGTAAGAAAGAAGAAAAGAAGGAATAGAATAGAAATTTTCACTAAACACACAGGCTCAGCCGTGTAACCAGTGACACTAGGATGTGCAGGGCTGTAGGGAAGACTTCAGTTCCTAGCTCCAGTTTATGCTGATTCTGGAAACCCTTGCAGCTGTTTTAATCTTCGAACAAAGTCTGCCTTTCTGTACTAGGTTGCTCATTGCTTTAACCCCACTTCCTCTCACATAATGCTCAGGCTGGGGATGAGGAGAAACTTGGCAAGTCTTGTGGTCTGCCCATTTTAGGTACCTTGTTATTCAGGAATTTATGTGTCTACTGCACCTATTAAATTGGTGATTTTTAGATGTTGCTTATTGTGAATATCAGAAAACTTATGCGTGTGTTGCAATTCACTACTCATGATGTAGAGCATGAGGGAGCTTACAGCAAGGATAGAGGTCAAGGATGTTGACAACGTCACGTAACACATAGGACAGCCCATAAAAGAATAAAATATTGGCCCTGTGGAGTAAAAACCAGTGGTCAACTTAAACACCAGCTAAAATGAGTCAGCCTAGTGCTTAGTGTAGATGGTCCACTTGAGGGCTGTTGCCAGTGTAAAAAGGAGACCTGCAGAAGAAGAGTAGTGTTGTGTGCTCTCATAAGGGTGGTGTTGTTTGGAGCTGTTGGTTCTCCTGGAACCAACTTGTCATTCCGGCTTCCTGGATAAGAACTTGGCAGATATCATCAGAGGAACTGGGACCTTGTCACTGAGAATGGCTGCAGTTCACTTTGGGAGAGCTGGTTCTTACTTTGAGTATCACTTCCTGGCTCTGGAGGGAAGATGTGTGCTGTTTAATCTCCAGGAGAAGCTTGTCGTGCTGGTTTCCTGATAAATACTCAGCTGTTCTCATGATTGTAGGAGCTTGGGACCTCACTGTCACTGAGGATGGCTGTGGTACTTTTCAAGCCCTGGTCCTAATTTTGAGCATTGCTTCTTGGCCACAGTGCAGAACCTTTAACACAGATCCTTCACTCTGCTGGCATAGACTTTTCTAGCTTCTACTGCCAACCTTGGGGCTTTCCCAGTGCAGATCCATGCAAAGGACTTGCATGAGTCACTGTCATGGACTCTAGGTTTTCAGCTGGA